GGTCATTGTGAGCATAACATCGTATTCGAATTTTAAATACATTTTATAATATATTTGCTCGTAAAGTGGTTGTAATTACACCAATTTCAATATCGTAATGTATCTCATTACGTAATTGTGCGATAATGTAATGTAAAAGGCACGTGATTTTTTTAAATAAAGTTTTAAGACTTTTAGAACGGTACTTTTAAAAATATTAGCAAACAGGTTTTATTCCAAGAATAAATATTTTATGAATAAAATTAACTTTGGGAAATAAAATATAACAAATAAACATTTAATTTAATTAATTTTGACAATAAATTAGAACCATTTATCTGTAACAAAAACACAAAAATATTAATTTACTTTATTAGTAATACTGGCTGTTTTTGTACCTATGCCTAAAAAAAACGTTACAATCACTTTTAAAAAATGTTCAAATTTTTATAACCGCTTTAACAATTAATTAAAGATTTATTCGTTTAACTAAGTTAGAGTTTTATTTATTTCCTCGTAAATATGTTATAAAACGTCGTATGACATACGTGCGCTTTGAAAATTTCAGCCTCTGCTTTCTTATAGCCCTCGCCGATGCTAGGCCAGTAGTAATATCGCCTCGGCTGTAATTTTCAACTTACCGCACTTATATCATAATGCGCTATTAACTTTTTAATCATTCGATATAGTGTATTTAGTAGTATGAGTACCATTTTCATAGTTGTCTAGTTCGTCCCTTGTCTAACCAAGGACCCAGGTGGCATGTGTCCGACATCCCGACTAATCCACGAACCTACAAAACCTCTCCTACGCTTGACATAGTTTTTGCTAATACTTCAAATTAATCGTGCGATCCGCTGTTATTTTGAATACTGCAGTGTGACAAAACAATGAAACATAAAATATTTTTGGTATTGCTGTACCAACGACAGATATTCCTAAAGCACACGATTGTCACGGTGAGCGGTATAATGTAAGATGTAACACCCGAGCACCCGTGCCACTACATATCGCGCGAATATTAGGTCGGTGCCCAGTTTAAGATAATATTCTTTGTATAGTTAAGGTTTAAAAAACGTGAGGTTCTTTGCAACCTAATTAAAGAGCATAATTATCATAATTGATAAGCCAGCACACGTTACCCTGAGGGTAGATACACACAAAGTAATTAAACAAGCTTAATTTTCTTGTACGAGTTATACTCAGCTTGTTTCGCGAATATTTACAGAAAGTAACGGGTAAATATTGCGAGCGAGAGGTAGAAATCTTCGCGGAGAGAGAGTCGTGGAGAGGACTTTTTATTATCCTTAAACTGTTTTAAGCCCTTTTTTAATAGATACATAATTAATATTTTAGCATATTACATGCAACATTTGTATATTTATACCTTTATGGGTATGATGATGATGTCGATACTTTTCAAAGCTGAAAAAACCTGCTTCAGCATTACATTCTCTACGGTAATTAAAATAATTATGTTCGCCGGAATTCTATTACATGAGAATGAAACTGTGCTGTGTGAAAAATAAAAAAGCCATCTCTTCCGAGAGACACCGTTCGCACCGCCACTTAATTTGAATATCCAGCACAGAGTGTTTAATAAAACATTCAGTTTGATTTACATCTTACGAATCTCTACCTTTTGCTCTTTATTTAGTGTAAACACGCCCTTACAATGCTCATTTCGGTTCCGTGTACTTTTAATTTTGAATTCGGAATTAAGCCAATTTGAATTTCGAATTGCGTTGATCTTTAGTCTTTATTAATCGGAAAGTTTTGCACTTTGTTTGTGCAGTTCTCGTAGACAGTGATTACTTACTTAAGGGCCATGTCGTATGTCGTGGGACACTCTGCGCCATTCCTATATTTGTACCAAACCGACGACGTCGCACGGTGCTCGTCTCTGTACAACTCACGGAAGCAATAAGACAGGCAAATCGTGTGCGAGGTGACTAATAAAAATTCCAGCAAATCAATGCGATCTCTTTTACGCTTTTTATATTGTATCCTATTTTGTTACACGCCTCTGTGTCGTGTTAAAGGGACAATTCCGGGATCTCGCTAATGTACTGCGATCTATCAAATTGATACTCGCGTTATGTTAGCAAGCAAAATTATCAAATTGTTCGAAATGTTACACAAAAAGGTGCTTTTGGTTTGTTTTTCGTTACTGGTTCGTGTGCAATGTTTATAGCTATAGGTCGTATCAAATTTATGTAATTCGCATTATAAAGGCAGTTCTATAATGTGTAATGCTTTTTAGCACTGATTAAATTTTAATACCAATTTAAATCGACTAACATCCGTTATGCCATCACAGTACGGGTGTAAAGTTTCAAACTCCTTCGATCGAAGAACAGAAGCAACAGTAAATAGAAAACACGTCGGTGCCGTGTTCTTTTCGATTTGCATGGGCGGGCGTGTGTGCGCGATCTACGTGCGTGTGAGTCCTAACCGTACGCCAGGGTACAGCCGGGAACGACCGGGTATTTATTGGCACGTAGGATACGCAAAAATTCCAATAAAACGTCCCCGTTCGGAATGCCGATTGAAAGAATAATGTTTAATTTGCAAGACGGACCTCGTGATTTATTTGATTGGCTTTTGTTTCTCCAGCGCCTTGTTTACATTCGGAGGCGCACGACTCGACGATTTTATTTGGCACGAAGTAAAAAAGAGTAAACCTAACAACGCTAAGTTAATTTTAATTAACCTATTTATTATTTTCAAAGATCATTAATAAAAAGCACCAGGCGGACAGAACTCGACCGGAGTTAACTTCGTATCTCGCTTCCGCTAACTACTAAAAGATGGTAATGAAGCGCGTACTCACCTTTCTCTGTCTGACTCCCTTGCGCTCCAGAACGTGAGGTAAGTCTCGCTCTCTCCGCAGCGCTGTCACTGGCATAGCCGATCCAGACGGTGACAAGAAATTAATTAGGGGAAGCCGAGGAAAATAATGGTCCGCCGTGATTTTTAAATGAAATTTATTTTCTTCACTTCATTTATTTCTCAGCGACATGACACTTTGGAAATTATTAGACTCCGAATCGGTTTTCTTTTACTGACGTTTTCTATTTACCTTTGACGAGTCATTTGTGAGGTAGGAGATTGCGAAGTTTTGTTGTTGCTTTTCATCTTTCGTGAACCTATTTTTTTAAGTGGGCAGCATCACAGAGGGCACACGGGCTCTCTGAAACAAAGATACTCCAACAGAACTAAAAAAGGTAGTGTGTTGTTAGATATATTAGTAATTCGAGATGAATACAGTAACATCGGGTATACCGTCTTTAGAGAAACAACTCATACAGATAGGTACTTGAACGGTGACTCACATCACCACCCCAGCAAACTTAGTTCTCTCAGAGTATCTTAATTTCAGAGAGCCTGCCGTTTCTGTGATGCTGCCCACTTAAATGAGGAGTTACAGCATGTCAAGGTCAGTTCCTAATCAAGAACAAGCTGAGAGTCCCTCCGCAGCATCCCAGGAACAGGAACAAGCCACCCACAGTCAAACGTCAGCCCGCCTACCTACCATATGTGAAGGGAGTTACAGATAGAATTAGCAGAGTCCTCTATCGAGCTTCTATTGACACAATTTTCAAGCCGCACAAGAAGATTCAGCAACAAGTGTACTATCCCTTTACAAGATGCAGGCGTTTACAGACTGGATTGTGATTGTGGCCTATCCTATGTCGGCCAAACAAAGCGTAGTGTCTCGAACAGAATTAAGGAACACATCGCGGATATAAAACATAAACGTTTCTCCAAATCTGCGGTATGCCAATAATCATCTGAAGGGCCCAATCACTACTTTCCTGTCTATAGTTTACGCGAGTAGTACACATTAAAAAAAAAAACATTTAACGTTTAAAACGCGATATATTTGACTTAGTTTGAAAATGATGTCTCCCCGTGACCACGGCTGCTGCAAAGCATCCGAAACGTCGGGCCGAAGTTAAAAATCATTTTCAAATAAGTTTAACTAATATATCGCGTTTTAAACCGTTAAAGTGTTTTATTTAAATACTACTTTCCTTTTGACCAGCCAAAAATCCTCGCAAAAGAAATTAGATTTTTTCCAAGATTGGTATGCGAAGGAATTGAAATTAAAAAAACACAGAAATTTCAATAGGGACAACGGCCTCAAATTATCAGACACCTGGAATCCCAAAAAGAAAACTCTGGATTCCAATAAACAGCTTACCGGCTAAAGCGAAGATACCGTGAGTCAATTCAGCAAAGACCCGGCCAGTGTAACGCCAAATACCAACTTCGACGGAACAAGTTTAACTAAAATATATCGCGTTTTAAACCGGTAAAGTGTTTTATTTAAACGAAATTTAATGTTTAACAGTTAAACAAAGCATGAGACACACATTCTTTCTCCTAATACTTACGCATCTACTTTCACGCATGTGTATTTTGAAAGAAAATAAAACTCTACTCACACGCAATGCTCGATCGTCATCGTTCATCATCTTCAGGCATATCCAAACATATTTAAAAATGTTTGAAGAACATTCAAAATTCTGTTAGCTTCCCGTCACAGCGATGACAGGTATCAATTTTTCTTTTTGAATATTTTTTCTTTTACGTTGTCGCCGCGTCGGCTTTGGAAATGGGGCTTTGTTTTTACATTTTTTTATCCATCCTGTAACTAAAAGATTTACTTTTACATTTCACAATGTAACTATTCACGTGTAGAATTACCGTCGTAGCTAAGATAAATTTGACAATCGTTATTAGCATGCAATTATTGTGACTACCGTCAAACAGTTCCATACAACAAAGTTTCTAATCACAGTCCTTCAAAAACGGTAGCAGTGACAACATCGCGTGGTTAGGGCAATTATTCTTCGAGAGAGATAGCAAATTAGTTCATGTCAATTATGTGTAATAGCTTATATCACGGTAGGTTTTGTTCGTAAATTATACTCAAGTCGAGCGTAAAAGCCAACCGCTACATTTAGAAAGGTTGAACTACTCGTGACATTTAGATATAACAAAATATCACGGCAATGTTTTCTTCGACGATAGCACAAAAAGAGATAAGACAGGCTATTAAAAAGCAAAACAAAAACAAAAAATCGGTCATACGCCACGTAGGAAGCAGAAGTAAGGACTATTTGATTCTGTTTCTGAAGACGTCTTCGATTCACGGCTTGAATCATTTGGTAGCCCCTCGACGACACCCGTTCGAAGTGTGAGTATTGCGGTTATGCAAGTTTAATACACAAGACTCGCTTTGATGCAATTGACGCAACACAATATTTGTACAGGTTGCTCTGGTCTTCTTCAGTTATTCTGTCTGTGTTTGGCTCGATTTACCTCTCGCAGACGACGTGGATTCGTTACCAGTCCTCTCCCACTGTAGTCTCAATGGACCGAGACATGTACGCCTGGAATACCACATTTCCTTGTGTCACTGTGTGTAATGATTTGAGGGTCGACCCAGTCAAATTGGAAGAATTTGTAAAGTAAGGCACGGAATACACCTTTACGTAAACAAAGAAAATGCCAACTAGTCATATTGCTTCCGAATGCTATATGCAAATAAGCCCACATGTTTTTTATGTATTTAAGTAACCTAACATAGCTGCTGCTTATGCTAGTAAAACCAATATAACATTTTTTTTAAACTAGCAAAACAATTTAAATATATGTATATACTCAGAGGTGAAACTTCCAGTGAAACTTGTTTAGGTTTTTAAGGCACTTAACAATTTTCACGGGAAAATTGTAAAATATAGATAAAAAAAAGGAACGAAAAGAAAATTCAAAAGATTCTCCTTCGTAAAGGTCCCGCAATACTAAGAATAAAGAGGAACTTAAAACATTTATACTGGCCTTGGCGAACGCCACGTATAAAAACTTCGATACTGTACCGCTATACGAAGGCGTCTCGTCTTCGGAGTTTCTGGACATCATCCTCAAAGTATCGACATCGTTCCAGTCGACTCTCACCATTGGAGCCCTGGGCAGAGAGTTAGAAATTACGCCGACTGTTACAGAAATGGGCCTATGTTATGCCATGAATTCGAAGGTCGCCGTGTACAGTTCGCCAGAGTAAGTTGTCGCAATTGTTAAATACGACAATAGTCGGTCGATCGTCCATAACATGTGTGTTGGTCTTCTAGGTACATGCGAGCAAACCGGTGGGACTTACTGAAAGATCAGAACGATTCTCTCGCGGTTCATCCACTCGATGGCGAAGTATTCGCTCATATTATGAATTTATCCTATTCTTATTTTGTGAGTACCGTTCAGTTAACGAGCAGGTAATCGGACAATGAAAAAAAAAACGATTATATTAATAATTGTAATCGTGATCTTTAGGTCTATGTACACGGCCCGTTAGAAGTCCCCGATATCTCAACGAAGTATCAACACTCGGCTGCGATGTTCTACATGAAGATCTATGTCACCGCTTTGACAGTTTACACTTCGCAACAGGCTGCGAGGTAACATTCAATGGAATTGGACTACTTCAACATTCTTCTTCCCCGTTTTATACTCGAATATTTATCCACTTAAGCTTACATTCGTAAGGTGAACAATAACTACGTATCTACAATTTTTTTAGCTTAAGCATTGCTCAGAGGCGCTGTCGGTTCACTCATGAGAACAACTTGACGCATTTCGCTGTTTACACCTATACTAACTGTCAGATGGAGTGTAGAGCTCGAATGTGTTTGAAATTCTGCCACTGCATACCGCACTTCTACAGAAGAGTAGGTACGACTTAAACGTGCATCCTGTCGCTTTTTCATCCCTGCAGGGTATTGTCGATAATATTGCTCTAATACTTTTTGCAGGCGATGAGGAAATTTGCGATGTTGACGGATTACACTGTTTGGCAAAATATAAAGGTACATATTTCTTGACTAATTCACTATACAAAAGTATTCATTAAATTCAATGGAATTCTTTTTAAACTGTCACTTTGAATAGTTTTAGTAAAACCTGTTGCCTCGGTTACTCGGTAAAAGCTAACAAAGAAATTTTTTACTTTAAATATAATCATATCGTAAAATCGGAAATGTATTATGGGTTATAGTGTAATACGGAATTCGAATATTACAGATGTCCTGTTCAAGCTTCGAGACAAAGATGGTAAAAAGATAAACTGCGGATGTCTACCTATTTGTGATGATGTGAACTATGTTATTCAATCGAATGTAAGAATATAAAAAAGTTTGTATTTGTAGTGTTTATTTTTTATTGCTTTATTATTTATAAAACACACCACAGATAATGCATGTGTTACTGATTTTGTAATGTTCTTTAGTTAAAAAAACATGATTTATCGCGACATACTACATAGTATATAAGAAAGCGTATGATAAAAGTTCAAGAAGCATGTAAAAACATGACTGAACTTTATTTTGATTTATTTCATTTCGTTAGGATGTGCAGGAGTGGTTCTTAGGTACCAATCTGCAATGGGGAATCGCGAGCTATCCACGCATGAGGTACCGGAGGGATATCATATTCGGTTTCACCGACGTCTTAGGTAAGTGCAGCGCATCATAAAATTTATTATATCGATCAACTATTTATACTTGTGTTTTGCATTTTCAGTTGCGGTCGGGGGCATGGCCGGCCTATTCCTGGGCTGTAGTGTTCTTAGCTTCCTGGAAATCCTGTATTTCCTTACTTTAAGATTATTCTGCTATACGCAAACAACTCTTCGTAAATAGAGTCCGAGTATCTATTGTAATACACAAACCAATTATATCGTCAATAACATTTCATACATATGCGTACATAGTACCTCCTCAATATTGAAAATCAATTTTATTTCAGCAAAACCAGAGTTTTTAAGTTTTAATTAATTTTAAGAATGTATGGATTTATGGTCTGGCAAATAAATTATTATTATTATTAAATACCCGCTGTATTTGCAACGGCGTCGATGATTCGTAATATATGGCATCTTATGTACCTAATTTCGTTCAAACCCTCTCCTGCCATTAACCTGGTTACATTAACCCTGCCCGTTAACGAAACGTTTGACAAAGGTCTAGCGATTGTTTAATTGGCCGACGAGACCAAACTATCTTTATTAGCAGATGCTTACGGGTTGAATTTACGATGCGTTAATAGGAGGCAACGTATGACGCTGTTATACCGAACCTTAATTAAATTTACCTGAAGGGTATTGTAATTGTAATACATGGGTGCGTTTGACTTCGTTTAGCTAACGATTATTACATAAATGTAATATATAAAGCTGAAGACTTTAGGAAGTACTGGTTCGAATCTTTTTGTGTTGTTTAGACTGTTTATTGTGGCGTTTAAAAGATCGCAATGTGCCTTTCAAGAAACGAAGAAACAATGGGAAATGCAAAAAAGAAAACGAGGAAAATTATTCACCCTTGTGAGTTTACATTGCGTACGCTACGAAAACGGTTCAAGAAACCCAAAAAATATGTTAATATGTCTTAAATAGTCTAATAAATAGTGCGCGACATCATATATCTATGTTTTTAGATTAACTTGCAACAACGACGGGATGCGGACTATGTGGTGGGTAACAGATATAATTTACAAAGATGAGGAGGAGGTTTGCAAAAACAAATTTGGATGCCCAAAATAACTATTCTTCGCGGACAAAGTAGCAAAAACACAGCTAGTTCTTAATACACGTCTCGGCAATGGATTAAGCTACTAATTTCATTTTATTACTTAATTTGCCACAGCAGTCGAAATATAACATACTAAACTCCGGTAAGACATAGGTATACACACAAATAGTGAAAATTAAATTAACACCTTCGTGGAGAAATCCGACTCATTTAGTTATCTGCTACCACCGCGGCTTGCGATAGACACTCGTGTACGCCTGAGCGCGGTCTGAGTTTAAGCGATGTAAAAATAAATAAATATGAGAAATAAACAAAAAGTAAATGTCTAAGACATCGTGTATTATAGTAATGATTATTAGAACATTCAACAGATATTTACTTTATTTCGTGGTAGTAATTATAACAGGGGCTCAAAGATATACTGTACACAAATAACGAAAATGTCAACAGACAAAAGAATAGGTTAAGTAGTAAATTACAACCATTTCTTCTTTATCGCCAATTTGTATTTTATCATTATCTGTTATCATTATTAATAAAGAATAGTTTTACTCACCGCTATCAGTCACTCCTCGTATTCCTTTGTAAAATCTATCTGTACGGGCCGGGATATGGAAATGTTAAAGATTATTGTTTGGAGTTTGCGAGGTGTAATTTAATTCTAAGACGTATCTCTCTCTTAACGACGTTCTGAGGGGGTCGGCCGTTATTAGAGTCTCGTTATCGATATAATATTTGAACGACATTAACAAGTTTAGTGGATACGTCTTATTTGCAAGGACCGGTTTTAAACGCATGCCTGACTACTAAGCGGTACGCTACATGAAACAAAATATTCAGTCTTCACTTAGTCAAAGAACGCAACAACAATTCTTAACAATGCTGTCCATTCGTGATGGCAAAGCGTCGCGATCAATTTCTCTTTCAGACAGCTCGAAAACTCAAGAAGCAATAACTACTGCGCGAGAGGAAAAGGGTCCATTAGGACATTTAATAAAGTTAGAATTAATTGAATCGAATTATCGATATGTATACCATCCCTATTTAAGGTGTTTATGAACGCTATATGTTCGGATTTTAATTGCGGGTATCAAGCGGCTTTTGTGAATTGTCTATGAGTTGGGGTTTGGCTCCGAACTCGAGTAATGAGGTGAGATAGAATTCGTACCACAGTGACAGAAGATAGACGAGTATAGTAAGCGAATGAAATTAAATGTAATCTTGTTATCGCGTCGGCTATTAATATTTTGTCAGAATTTATTGAAAACTACCCGCGTGATGAGTAGTAATAATTTGCATATTTTTGTAACAAGTTTAGTAAAGGTTTGCGATTGAGTACGGGGTACACGAGCGTGGAAGGTCGGAAACCCCCAGTCTCATCGCAGCTAAAATGCGCTGTCAATAATCGACATTTCGATTTAATAATAAATTGATTAGAACCATCGATACAAAAACGAAACATGTTACGATTGATTTCTCAATTGTCGATCGCTTTGTTGTTAGACACTTGTTATCCCTGACACAGGTACAGGTGTTTTCAATTTAAAACAACCCATAGTACTTTGTCGCTACCTAAATCGCCCTCCCCATAAAACATTAGACGCCACGCAATATCATATAACGCATACCTCGCACCCCATATACCTTAAAGATTGCCAGATACGAAAAACATGATTTATCCCCCATTTTTTCCCAATAAATAGTTGTCTTAGAGGTCTGAGGTCGGGCAACACTCATTTCTCGAAGGTATCCAACCTTTTTGCTGATAAAGAGATGACGAATGAAGTAGGTGTCAGTTTTATGGGCGTGTGAGTGGTGAATTTATGGCGCGATTTATTTTTTAAGATAAATTAGATTGTATTGCTTTTCTTACTCCGCTATAACACGAAGGCTACAGAGTATAGAACACTCACAAGGAATGAGCCATTGACGATAAAGACTTACAAATTACTGAAAACAAATGGAATTCAATCAAACTTCATTATCACATTAAAGCGTGAAACGCAAAAAGTAATTTTGGAAATTAGCGACGGCTCGCGATTCCTATAAGTAAGACTTTCGCATGGACTGAAACACGACAATATTTTGAGAAGCCTCGAAACCAAAATGAAGTTTTACGTCCTTTTAGTAGCATTGGCTTTATTTGCCACGGTCTACGGTGCAGGTGAGCGTGAAGATTTAGGTAAGTATTACTTGTTTATTGGATTTGTTACATTTAAAATCCTTACGACTCGAATCCGCGTCAGACGCCAAAACGGCCCGCGCTCCCGTTCTCACGCTATAAAAACTATCATCGTCATGCGAATCACCAAACCCCAGAAGTTTCTAATTTTATTGTTTTAAATGAGCTTAGCCAGAGGTGTTCTTTGCAGATTCCATCGGCGGATGTTACGATTCGAGAGACTGCGTAAAATATTGTAGGGTTAAATGCCCCGGGTCCAGATCGGCTTTATGCTACATAGGCATATGTTACTGTGGATTTCAAATATCGCCCTACTAACTACGTGTTGACAACTTGAGAATTAAATGAAAATGTTTAAAGTATATTTTTTATTTATTTATTTTTGACCTAAACTAAACAAATATATAAAAAAAACATCCATAAGTTACGTATACACATTGAAAGGATAATTTTGTTTTAACAAACAGTGACTTAAATAAAAGGGGGGTGAATTTAGAAGATTACAATATTGGCTCAAGATAGTATTTTGAACATAATTTAATTTCAAATATTAATGGTATGGCTATTTAACTTAAAATAGATTAAAGCAAATATATAATTTTAAGTTAATTAGTTTGTTTGTTTGTCTGTTTGAACGCGGTATCTCAGGAACCGCGAGTTCGAAATGAAGAATTATTTTAGTGTTTCAGCTATTATTGAGGAGGGCTATAGGCTATAAACCATCAAGCTGTGACAAAAAAAATGTATGAAAGAATGATTCCCCTTTAACTGATCTAATAAAATGACCGACACTATGCCTTTATCTTTTAAGATTAACTTGCAAAACTACGAGAGGCGATCGACATCGTATCGCATCGCTTCAATTTATAACGATGAAGAACAGTTTTGGAAAAACAAATTTGGTTGCCTAAAATAATTTATTCTATGCGGACGAAGTCACCGACACAGCTAGTTTAAAATATGCCTTTTTAGTTAAATTTTTAATTTGCAATGTTCCCTTTTTACTAGTTGTATCTCTAGAACCTGCGTTAAGATGCCTGGGACGCACGCACCACCTCATTTGGGCAGAAACATAAGCTGAGTCATTACCCTTTTGCAGAGACGTATTTAGTTGTCATAAGTTTCAATGTAATATTTTTCTTTGTATATTGTTGTTTGCGATTAAGTGTTTTTCTTCTTTCTTGCCGCCTTTTAACTTTCAAATTCGAAACTGATGGGATGTTTCGTACTGTCGTAGGATTGACAACAGTTAAACAATATTGTATCTGTCATATTTAACATTATTTTTGTTAATGATTGATGTGTACTATTCGAATCTATCGAAATAGTTTTAATTTCTATTTCTGCACGCGTACGAGTCTGCTAGCGGCCAGTTCTAAAGCCAAGGATCGAAGGCCACTGCAATTGTAGCCTTTAATTGTGTTAAATACATGAGTACGTAAACGGTCGTAAGCGCTATCTACAAAAACAATAAGCATAAAATTAAGCTAAGTAACAATGAAATCGGCGCGAAAGGTGACCGATAAAATTACAATGAGTGGACTAATAACAATAACTCCCCGGCCTATATAAAACCCGCTTCCGACGCATTCCGTATAGTACGAGAGAAACATGAAGACGTGTTTAGTCTTTTTCATCGTGGCCATCGTGACCGTTATCGCCCAGGATGTGGATTCCACGACGCAAGAGTCACATGGTAATTCCTATCTCATATTCACAAGATGGACACGAGACAAACTATAGTTATTTTGATATTAGTAAGCGCTTTCGAATGTGGGAATTGTTATTTATAGTATTTTAATCGGTCGCTTAAGATTTATTTCATATTTCGTCATGATAAATCTATAGCCCACTACAGACCTCGATATTTTCCAGGAACGATGCCAGAGAAGAATTGTCTAATTCACTACGAATGCAAACATTATAAATG